TTCTGTCTCCGCGCTGTTGTCGCTCTGTTGATGACGTCAGCGACGCAGTTTAGTCGGGCGCGGTTTAGTTGAGCGCGGTTTTGTGGTGGAACCCACCCTTACAACTATTGCAACCTCCCCATAGTCATGTGATTCAAGTGCTTGGCAACTGGTTCATATTTATGACCATTTCAGGGGACACTGTGACCATCTTTTGTTCAGGGGACACTGACCATCTTTTGTGACCTTCTGACAACCTAAGTCCCTGGGGAAGCCAGATTCACTTAACAACTGTCTTGCTAACTTAACAACTGCTGTGACTCCCTTAACAATTGTGGCAAGCAAGGTCATAAAATGGGGCAAAACTCACTTAACAAGTGCCTCACTTAGCAACCGAAATTTGCGGTTCAATTGTGGCCCTAAGTCGAGGACCACCTGTATATGGAGGACTTTTAGGATGTTCGGCAAGAAGCCTCCATTAAAGTGATCTTATGCCTTTGTATTGGGACTAAAAGAAATGATAATCCACCTGGAAGACACAAGATTGGAGAAGAGGGTATAAAGCACCCTTGTGATGGTTTATTCTTAATCAGAAAGATTCCTTCTCCGCTCCCCCCAAATCATGCTTTCTTCCCACCCTTCCCTAGCTACTGTGAACGCCCCTCTTCCACAGACCTCCGCTTTTTACCTGACTTCCTTACGAGTGAACAGCCCGACTCTCTCCAACTGCTCTAGCTCCGGGATTCGGTCCTCGATGCGTTCTTCGATCCTCTCAGCCATAACCAGCAAGAAGCGAGCTGCGTAGCCCTACACAGAACCAAAACCCACGTGGACCGCTCGCCCTCCGCTTCCTGTAGCGATCAACTAGCTACCTCGAAGGGCCGGGCCGCTCCTTACCCTTCCGTCTAAAAGCGGCGCGGGATCTACGGTGCTTCCACCTTGCGGCCCCTGGAATAATTGCAGCCTTTCTGGTTTCGGACGGGGAAAAAAATATCAGATATACGCCGTCTGTGCTGCATGTCTGGCTATATAAGTTATTAGGAAAAAGAAAAAAAATACTTGTTGCAAAGAATGGCACTAAAATTCGAAATGGGAACAACCCAGCTTTACCTTCCAGGGTCTGTTATCTGTTTGGGATGGAGAGTTTCGCGGTCCCACCAGGGCTTGAATTTGAGACTTTCTCTGTACTATTAATAGAATTGACAGAGAGTGAAGGAATCGATCCTTAATGCTTTTCTTAGAAAACTCGCTTCCTTACAGGAAGGGAAAAAAATGGCATACCAATGAGATGTTTTCCACTTCCAGCTTTGTGTTTCTGAGTGTCAAAACCCTGTTTGGTTTATGCACTGGTGCAGTTCTAGGAGGCTAGGAGTAAATGTTGCATCCATTGTAGTCAATTTATCTCAAGACAGAGAGCATCCCTAAACTGTGTTTGTCACCCTTCTGCTTCAGTGGCAAAATCATAAGGAATGTTCAGCAGACAATGCTCTTTATTATTGCAAAACTCCAATTTCAGGATTCCCAAAAATAACCCATGCCAGGTAAAGCCGAATAAAATCCATGTTGGTTGTCTGAAGCTGCTCGAGGAAGATAAGCGAGAGGTTTTCTGATCATATAAAACATAGATTAGAAAAAGTACTTGGACAAACCAATAGCCACATAATTTTAATACATTACAGATAGCCAGACTCATCACAATTGAGACCAAAATTTCCATGGCTAAGCCAGTCAATTGTCATGTGAATTTTGCCCCATTTTATGACCTTTCTTGCCACAGTTGTTAAGTGAATCACTGCAATTGTTAAGTTAGTAACACAGCTGTTAACTGAGTCCAGCTTCCCAAATGACTTCACTTGTCAGAAGTTCACAAAAGGTGGTCAAATGACCCTGGGACACTGCAACCACCATACATACACACCAGTTGTCAAGCACCTGAATTTTGATCATGCAACCACAGGAAGTTGGTCTCTAACAGAAAATCACTTGAAGAAACTAGAAGCATTTGAAATGTGGATTTATAGATGGCTGTTTTGTATAAACTGGATTGACAAAATCACAAATGAGGTGATAAGCCACCCAGAAAAGCAAAGGGAAATCATCAAAGCCATTAAAAAGCAAAAGTTAGAACATTTTGGATATGTGATGCAGCACCTAGAAAAATATGGCATACTTCACTTAATTCTCCAGAGAAAAATTGAAGGCATATGAGGTCCAGGCAGAAGAAGATGGTCACATCATGGCTTCAAAACCTAAGGGACTGGTTTGGACAAAACTCAGCAGCACTTATTCATGCGGCTGTTGACAAAAATAGGATTGCCAACATGATCGCCAATGTCTGATGACGGATATGGCACAAGAAAAAGAAGACCACAGGGATGCTGCAACAGTCTTAAGTGTAGATAAGTCATTTTTTTCAGTGCTGTTGCAAGTCACTAAATGAATGGTTATAAGTCAAGGACTACCTATATATTTTCCCTGCTAGGGTTCTTTCACTGATTCAAGTGACCATATTACTTCCACAATAATAAGTTATCCATAATGAACATGATTAACAAATATCCCAATTCAATAAACATGTTTCCATTATTTATTTATAAGTTTTTGTAAGGCCAGATATGTATATGTTTTCTGTGTAATATTGTGCAACCTGCTTCAGTAAATTTGTTTAATGCTTTATATTCATATATTTTCTATATTGCAATACATTGCAATGTTGGTCAATTGGCTATTAAAACCATGTGTGAAAACCTGTCAGAATTTTAACAATTCCACAACTGGGGCATAGTTTCCATCATAGCAAAGCTGAAACCATTCTATATGATCCATAATTGTTAGAAAGCAAGCAATGCAGGCAAAACAATATAATTTTTAAAATGTTCTATTCTGGAAGTTTATAAATGCAAATTGCTAAAACAGAGATAATGAGCAACAACCAAGATGTTGAAAATGCTGGGACAAATATATGGATGATATTATATAACTTATCTAAGTGTACCTGAGAACTGGGAAGAATATTCTGCTTCTAATTATCTTAACACAATTAACATTACGGACTGTCAAAAGTATTCAGACCTGAATAACAAATGCAGTGTACTGCAGGCAAGAAAGAACTTGATTTGTAAGAACCCTGTTCGGTAGATTTGGAATGCAAACTAAAATGCAACTTGACATGTCTTTTGTTCCTGCCTCCTTCAGAAAATCTCCTGTAAATGTTTCCCATGTGCCCTTAAGTTCACCATTTGAACATATAACAAAAATTAATAGGGTGAAGGATCTTTTTTTTTAAGTAGCAGAGACTAAAGTCTTAGACAAAAAATAATGAGTAGATAGCAGTAGCTGTTCTTCCTTCATTATTGTTATTACAATGTTTTAACCATATATTAATTTTAGAATAGGATTTTTTTTTACCTTGGGCAAATGTATCAAGACCTATGTGATATTTACAGTACATTTTTTTTAAAGTACATCTGTCTACTACTCTAAGCTTTTACAAAAATATGGGTCCACAGTCAAATAAATAATATGAATTATCTATATTAATCTGCATCAGAATGATCACTTTAACCCATTTGAATGTAATATAAACTATTTCAAGATATCACATTTTATATTAAGAGAAATAAAAATTTAACTATTTTTCTGGTACAAGAATTAGTGGGCCAATATTCCTAAATAATCATATAAACAGAGTTCTGTTATTGCCCAGTATTTTCTTTATAAAATCTCCTCCTGCTTCAAGAAGCATCAGGTAATCTCTAGTCGAAACATGCTTCTCTTATCAACAGCAGTTTCAAAGAGGCAACACTAAAATACTCTAAAGCAGTAAATGTATGGAAAAAAAATATTCTAGAGAATGATGCCTTATTTACTTAAATTAGCAAGCTTTGTGTTTATATCAGCAGCAGAAATCTATAACACATGTTTTTTTAATTTCTATCCTGACAGGATAAATGCTAAGTCCAAAAATTGTGGATTTTTCTCCTTTTGAACAGACTAGATTTCAGGAGATCTTACATAATATAATACTATATATTAACAACTTGAGCATGGATTTTTATGAGTCATCTTTCTTATTATTCATTCAGACCCAAAATTAACTGTGCCTTGGTTCCATCTGGAGGACAAGTACTGTATGTAGGCGAATCATTTTCTATAGGTTATGACGTCAATTTTCCCTTAAATACCAATCAAATATCATTCATGTATTAACTGCTGAAATACAGGATGTTATCTTATACCTATTTAAATGAGCGCAGTTTTCACTGAATTCAGTAAAATGTACTTGTAAGATTTTATCTCTCATATTAGCCACAAATGAATTAAGCCACTGAGACCTGTTATTTTATCTATTCATTAATATTAATATATATTAGAAAATTTCATGTTCTGTTAATCTACATGGAATCAGTATTTTTCTCTCTTGCTCCTAAACCTTTAACTTAAATATTGTTGCCAATCCTATTCTTTTCACTATAATTCCCAATAAAGTATCTAAAATTAATCTTCCTATTCCAATAAAAGACCTGTTATGTAATCAAAATAATGAATGTTTGGAACTATCCCAACACCTTAGAATTTCCATGGAAAACAAGCTTTTAGTATGAATACATAAGTTAGTTGATTACAGTTTTTTTACATTGGAGAAAATGGAAATTTCTGAGTTATATACTCTCATAATATCAAGTCAAGACAGCTGGTTTGCTGTACTGTGAGGCTTAAGACACCAGGATAAAAACTAGCATACAAAGCCAGCTGGATGACCTTGGGCAGTTCTCTCTCAGCCCTGGGAAGCAGATAAGGACTACCCAAGTCTGAAAAATCTTGGCAAGAAAACTAGTCCAGGAATTAAAAACTGTCTCAATGGCACACACATTAAAAAAAAAAAGGAGCTCATTGTGAAGAATCATCTTCCCTATACTTGGTTTCTAAAATGGATGGTAAAAAGGTTCCGAATCAGGCAGATGGCATATTCATTTCTTGGAACTCTATCCCATCTTTTTCCGAGCGCTCAAAGTGACACACACTGCACCTCCTACACTAATTTTCTTTACAAGTCAGTAAGGTAAATTAGGCTGAAACAAACTGATTGTCAGAAGACTCAGCAATTCCCTCAGGCAAGCATGGGCTGTAGTCCAGCCTCTTAAAAACTAGACAATGATAGGTGACATTTATTGTATTACAAGCTTGATCAAAATCGTTTGCTGCTTTTATTTCTTATCATGTATTAATTAGCTGCAGAATCACTCCAGGTAAGAGGTCCGTAGAACACGCCAAATTTATTAAGCACCACAGTAAAAACATCTGAATGTTTATTTATTATGCAGGTATCCAAAAGCTCAATCCTGTTGACAAAATTAATTTCATAATCATAGTGAGCAATCACATCTCTTCCATGGAATTTCACTATGACAAACTCAAAGCATATAGTATAGTATAATATGGTATAGTATGGTATGCTATGGTATGCTATGGGTAAGGGTATGAGTATTAGTATAGCCTTTATTGTCATTGTACAAGTACAACAAAATTAGTTTTAGACTCACTGGTACAATCCATGACAACAAATACAAACATAAATAGTATAAAGAATAATACCAATGCAAGAAATTAGGGTAAAAGAAAAAAAGAAAGTAAAGGAAAACACACATTTCCATGTGTGTGTGGAGTGATTGTGGTTGTTTAAGAGTCTGATGGCCCAAGGATAGAAACTATTTTTAAACCTATTTGTTCAGCCAGCTATGCTTTGAGGTGTTCTGCCCTATGGTAGAAGTGCAAAGAGATACTGACCAAGGTGTGAATCATATCCTGCATTTGTAATATTTTTTATTTTTATATTTATTCTTCCAATG